GTGGCCCTGCCTGGAGAGCGATAACATACATACGTATAACCCAATTAATGCATGCATGACAGATTGTGCAGCTATCTGATAAAAGCGCATGACTAATCAACTGTTTATTCCCCGCTGGAAAAGAACCCTTAAGGTTTTATGAAATCATTATCATCTGCCTTTTTACCCAGCTATCATCGTGCCGTTTTTATGTACCTATCTAAATGCACTTAAGGAAAAAAAGCACAAAAAAGGCCCCATCAAACAGGAGGTTATTATCTCCCGTGCTTCTATATTTAGCTCCCGAAATCAAGCTGGATCTACTGACCCCGGACCCTGTCTTGCATAACTTCCACATGCTCTTTCTCTCACTCTCTCCCTCTCTCCCTCTTCCACCCTCCCCCCTCTCCGACCCTCACTCCCTCTCTCCCTCTCCCCCCTCCTCCCTCTCTCCCTCCCTCCCTATCTCAGGTCACGCACCAGATACACGAGGTTTGGTGGTGTTTAGGTGTCGCAAACGTAGTTCTAGGTCTATTTTTAGAACCAGGCTGATAATATAGGGGACGATAGGGTTATTCTTATCACTGCAGGCCTAGCGAGATAGGCTATCAGTGTAGGGCGACCCGAAAAAAAATCATTACTGTAGATAACGAGGGCGCAGGGTGGGTGGGTGGGTTAGAGGAGGTGGGTTGTGTTCGAGGAGAGGTCAGGGGAGAAGGAAGGGTAAAGATAAGGAGGAGGGAAGAGGAATGGAGGGAGGGTGGGTTAGAGGAGGATTAAGGAAAGAAGAAATAGGAGGGAAGAGGGAGGGTAGGCTGTCTTAGAGGAGGGAACAGGAGTAGAAGGAAGATATGGAGGAGGGAAGAGGAGGAATGGAGGGAGGGTAGGTTCGAGGAGGAGTAAGGCAGAGAAGGAATGGGATGGAGGAGGGAGGACTGGTTAGAAGAACAGGCAGGAGGAGAGGTAAAGTGTATTTATAAGTAGAATAACAACCATAGAATCTTTTTTCTTTTTTTTCTTGTAAGAGGATGTGGTAAGATGAGAGGCCTTACGAGAGACGAAATAAAACCCGGCAAAATATGTCCGTAGATTTAGAAGAAAAAAAACTTTTTAACTTCAATTTTTTGAAGAACCCTATTTCCTCTCTCCCTCTCACCTACACCCGACTCATCCCATCCACACCTATTTCTCACCGACAAACGAAAACAAACCAAAACAAAATCCTACATAAAGAAAAAAATCACGCACACAAACGTAAACACAAACCCCCAAAACACACACAATCCTCGATGAAAAGTGAGAGGCAGAGGCGCAGGGGTTATCAGGGCAGCCTATATTTAGACGCTTTTATCAGGCCTTGCATTACGAGAGAAAAAAAAAGAATACAGGACCCCCATACTGATAACGCTAGAGTGGATCTAGGTACGGACTTCTCTTTGTCAAGATTGTCACATGTTCGTTAGGCGTGTGTTGTCGGCAAGGAGGGGGGAAGGGGGGTGGATGAGGGGGAAGGAAGAGCTGGATGGGTGGGGGAGGGGAGGAAGAGGAGGTAGGTAGGGGAGGGGAAGGAAGAGGAGGTGGATGGGGGGGGGGAAGAGGAGGTGGATGTGGTAGGGGGGAAGGGAGTTGAGGGGTGAGGGAGGGGAGGGGAAGGAAACAAGGAAGAGGAGGTGGAAAGTGAAGGGGTTGGGAGGGGAGGGGAGTTGAGGAGTGAGGGAGGGTAAGGGTAGGAAGCAAAGAAGAGGAAAAGAAGGGGGGCAAGGGGAGGGGAGGAGGGGAGGGGAGGGGAGGGGAGGGGAGGATAAGGAAGGGGAAGGTGAGGGCGATGGAAGGAAAGGGAGAGACTGGAGGGAGAATAGGAGAAGGGAGAGCGGTGTGGAAGGAAGGGGTTGGGAGGGGACGGGAGTTGAGGGGTGAGGGAGAATAGGGAAAGGGAGAGGAGGTGGGAAAAGAGGTAGGGTGGAGAGGGGAGGAGAGGGGAAGGGAGGGCAAGGAAGGGGAAGGGGAGGGGAGGGTGAGGGAAGGAAAGGAGAGAGATGGAGGGGAGGCTGGATAGGTCAAGGTCAGGTGAAGGTACATTGGGTATGAAAGAAAACAAAAACAAATATAAAAAAGAAAAGGCGTAAATAATACTGAAAATGAAATACCGTGTACACACACACACACACACACACACAACACACCACACAACCACACACACACACAATATTATATATATATATAATATATATATATATATAATATATATATATATATATATATATATATAATATAACGAACATAACTTGAGCTATAGTTTGTATTTCTCTCTCGATCCCTCTCTCTCTCTCACTCCCTTTTCCTCTCCTCTCCTCTCCCTCCTTTTCTCTCAAAAGTCACCCAAGCAGATGATCATAGGAAGTTTTTGTGGTGAAGGAGGTACGGTGGTGGGGAGGTGATGGAGAGGGGGGTGGAGAGTTGGAGATGGGGGGGGGGGAGACTTCCCTTAACAAGGAACTGTCAAACGGGTGTTTCGTGTTCCATTTGGGTTCTTTAAAAATATTTTCATTCCACTTATTAAAGGCTGCGGGGCTTGTAAAAAAAAAAAAAAAAAAAAAAAAAAAAAAAAAAAAAAAAATAATTGGGTACGTATTGTTAAGATTGAATTCCTTCTCGCGGTAATCCGATATCGTGGAGAGATCTATTGATTGCAGGGTTAATATTAACATATATATGTATAAGAAGAAAAGAAGAAACAAGATACATATTTATACATATGTATTTTAACAAAAATACATAAGGAATAACGTCATACGCAGAAAGAAAAAAAGAAAGAAAGAAAGGAATATACATATATATACAAATAAATAAATAAATAAATACAATGATACGAAAAAACATACTTGAGAATCATGCATGAAAAAATAAGAGAGAAATAATGGAAAAAAAAAAATCCAAAACCAACCCGACACACACCTTCAGAGCCTCGCGTGATTCTAACACTTAATAACACGCCCCAAGCGGCCACGGAGCTAAAACAAAGGAATCGCCGCCAAGTATGACCAAGGTTAAACCGCGCTTGTTGCTAGCCTCAGCGGCGGCGACGGCGAAGCGAGCCGGAAACTTCGGTTGGGGGGAAGGGGGGGAGGAGAAGGGGGAGTGTGTGGGGGGAGTGTATATGTATATATATGTATATATATATATATATATATATATATATATATATATATATATATATATGTATATGTATATATATATATATATATATATATATATATATATATATATATATATATATAATGTCTGTATTATTCTGTTAGAAAGAAAAAATACAGAAAACAGATTGCAAGTCAAGAATAACTCTAAAAAGACAAGAAAAAAACGCTAATCAGCGCCCGTCAACAAAACAAAACACAGCCCGAGCCCAGTGCCAACCCAAGGACCAGGTCAAGGTGTGGCACAACCTGGCCCTCCGGCACTTCCACCAAAGCGTCTAAATATAGACACACATCTCGCACTTGCACTCTGACCGTCCTCCCCTCCCCTCCCCCGTCCCCCTCCCCCCTATAATGAGAAAAAAAAAATCACATAGCGGCCATCACTGATAATCAGATCTCAGATGGCTGGCTCTCAGGGTCCGTTTTAGGCTTAAGGTCGGCGCTGTTTCCGTTTGTCGCCGAGGGACACTGGGCGCGGAGGTCATGTGAGTGTGCGCGTGAATGTAATAAGTCTACGTGTACATACGTTCACATGCGTTATGTGTATATATCTACATGTATATAAATCACATTAATACATAATATATATACATACTTAAGTAAATGCATACACACACAACACATAGGTGTGTGTGTCTAGCTATTTATCTATCTATCTATCTATCTATACATATATATGCATGTATGTGTGATAATGATAACAGTACATAAGGTGAATGAATGAAGGCTAAAACACCAAACCACGCTTCCCCGAGTACTCACTCATAACAATACCCCCACCCCCCTACTGTTACCCTTCCCCTCCCTCCCACCCCACCCCGTTAACTAAAAAAAAATAGAAACAATCAGTGTGACGCAATCCAGGTGGCTCCGTGGGACCTTGATGATGGAGGTTCAGCTGGAGGAGGAGAGGAGGAGGAGGAGGAGGAGGAGGAGGAGGAGGAGGAAGAAGAAGAAGAAGAAGAAGAAAGAAGAAGAAGAAGAAGAAGAAGAAGAAGAAGAAGAAGAAGAAGAAGAAGAAGAAGAGAATAAGGTGAAGAAGAGGTAAGGAGAGGAAGAATAGGAGGAGAATGAGGTGGGGAGGAGGGGGAGCGGAGTAAGGAGAAGACGAAATGAAAGAGGAGGAGAGGAAGAAGAAGAAGTGGAGGAGGAGGAGGAGGGGAGGAAGAATAGGAGGAAAATAGGGTTGAGAGGAGGTAAGGCAAGGAAGAAGAGAAGGAGGAGGATAGGATAGAGGATAATTACACGGATAGTTGAAGGATACGCTGGATGGTTGAGTGGATGGATGACAGGTTGGGCGGTTGATTATACAGAAGGATAGTTAAATGGATAGTAGGTTGGCTGACCAATGGCTGGATGGATGGTCACATGGGTAGCAATGGTTAATGGGATAATTGAAAGGATGGTCGGGTGAATGGATCGTTAGATGGATAGATGGTTAGATGGATACGTGAATGAATAGCTGTATGGACGGGTAGTTGGATGAATGAATGGAATAGATAGATGGATGATGAATGATGAATAGTCGCTGGATGAATAAATAGACGGATGAATGGGAGATTAGAATGATGAATAGTCGCTGGGATGAACAAATGGATGAATGGGTGATGAGAATGATAGATAGTCGCTGGGATGAACAAATGGATGAATGGGTGATGAGAATGATGAATAGTCGCTGGGATGAATAAATAGACGGATGAATGGATGATTAGAATGATGAATAGTCGCCGGGATGAATAAATAGACTGATGACTATTAGGTTGGATGAGCGGATGAGTTTAAGGATGGACGGTTGAAAGGATAAGGGGAAAATGAAAGCCTCACCTGGTATCTCGAAGACGGACACTGGTCAGACCGCTTCTTCTGAAAATAAATGAAGAAAAAGGATGAGAACAAAGGAAAATAAGAAAGGTCGACAAGGGAAAAACAAATAAAATAAAACTTCACTCTCTCTTTCTCAGACATGAGAATTTACATAAATACAAACACATGTTCACGCACACGCACAGGCGCGCACGCACACACACACACAACACACACACACACACACACACACACACACACACACACACACACACACAGCACATGATGAGTCAATTGCCTCGATATCATTACTCCTTCGCTTCGTAATTATCCCTTCCTCTTACCCAGTGATTATCCATTATCCTTGCTCCATCACCCATGCCCTTGCCGCCCATATCGACCTATTGCCCTCCTCTCGTCGCATTTATGCCCCTGTGCCCCCTCGCTCACGCTCCTTATACCTCAGATCTCTCGCCGCCTATGCCTCCTCACTCCTGCCCCCTGTCCTCCCCATCCCTGCCCCTATGCCTCCTCACCCTTCCCTATGCCTTCCTGTCTATGCCCCCTCGCCCACACTCTTATACCTCAGATCTCTCGCCGCCTATGCCTCCCCACCCCTGCCTATGCCTTCCTGTCTATGCCCCCTATGCCTCCCCATCCCGCCCCCTATGCCTCCTCACCCCTGCCCTATGCCTTACTGTCTATGCCTTCTTTCTTACTTCTTCCCCGTTTATACTCTGTGCTTCTTCCCCCTTGCCGGTTATGCCCCCCTATGCCTCTTGACCCTTGACCCTTACATTGCCTCTCCTCAGCCCTATACGCCTCCTATACCTCTACCCACACCCTCTATACCCCTCATCCCCGCCCCTTATGCCACCTCACCCTTCCCGTTAATGCACCCCATGCCTCCTTCCTTCTCCTGTGCTCCTTCCCCCATGCCGGTTATGCCCCCTATGCCTCTTCACCCTTGCCCCTTACATTGCCTCACTCTAACCCTCTGCGCCTCCTCTACCCCTACCCACACCCTCTATACCCCTCACCCTCGCCCCCAATGCCCCCTCATTCCCGCCCCTAATGCCCCCTCCCTGCGCCCCCTATGCTTCCCCACCACTGCCCCTTAAACTGCCTCATTCTAGCTCTCAGCGCCTCTTATACCCCTCCTATGCCCCTCACCCATGCCCCCTATGCTCCCTCTGCCCCGTCCTTTCTGACCCCTCAACCACATCCACTGACGACCTCTCTTCCATGCCCCTAAGCTTTCATCCCACACCCTTAATGCCCCTCATTCTACAACCCCTATGCCCCTCATTCCATACTTTTAATGTCCTTATTCACATATCATGTCTTCTTACCCCTCGTTTCCACCCCTCAATTGTCCTCATCCACATGCCTATGCCTCCTCTCCCCTTCCCCCATTCCACACCCTTAATGCCTCAATCCACAAGTCCTATCCCTCCCCATCCCTCATCCATATTCCCGGTGCCTCTTCATCCATGCCCTAACCTCTTCTTCCGCATGCCCTTATGCCCCCTCACCCCCTCCCCTCATTCACGCTTGCAAATAATAATAATGATGCTGGTGATGATGATAACTATACAATATAATAATAAAGAACGGAAAAATAGCCACTGAGATAATAATAATAATAATAATAATAATAATAATAATAATAATAATATAATAATAATAATAATAATATAGATTGAACGAAAGAAGTAATCCACTGAGCTCTGTGTTTGTGTTGTATCCTATATATCCTGTTAAGTGATTATGAGGAAGAGGAGCGGGAGGACGACGACGACGACGACGACGACGACGACGACGACGACGAAGAAGAAGAAGAAGAAGAGTCGAGAATGAGAAAGGGGAAAGTCAAAGAAAGAAAGAGAGAAAGAGAGAAAGAGAGAGAGAGAGAGAGAGAGAGAGAGAGAGAGAGAGAGAGAGAGAGAGAGAGAGAGAGAGAGAGAGAGAGAGAGAGAGAGAGAGAGAGAGACTTCGACAGATTAAGAGGAAAAACAGACTGTCAGACAGATCGAGAGAAACAGACAACAAACACCGACAGAGACTGAGAGCCCGACAAAGAGACAGAAACAACCAAATAGGAAAAGAATGCCAGAGCGGAGCAGCGCGAGTGACCAGGCCGCCTCGAAATTAGCCTTCATCCGATGCAAGCGTCCGCGATACCCTAATTAACAACATGCATGACGAAAGCGCAAGAGTGGCCAGAGGCGCAGCTGCCCCTTAAGTGGCCTTGGAGGTCATGTAATCTGTGCCCCGGAGAGAGGGCCTTGTCACAGCGTAAAACGTTCCGGATGCCCCGCTGTTGTTCTGCACAATGGACGCGCCTCACGCCATGGGACTTCCTTCGGCCACGTCCTGTGTCCGCTTTTTCTTATCATTCTTATTTTTCTTATTATTCTGTGTCCATTTTCTTCTTATTTTTATTCTTTTTTCAAGAATATGCGACTCGCACCAAGATATACAAGTTTAAGTGTTGACTTTTTTACTTTTTTTTTGTCTCACCCTTGTTGTGGGAGATACCGTTCTTGCTGTGAATTGCGGCAGGCAAGAGTTTTTGTCGTGGGTGGAAAAGCAGGTGAGTACATATAATATACATTATAACAAAGTAAATGTGACAAAGTTCATACATATACTGATGAGAAATTTCTACAAATTGTCAAGTTGTGGCACATCTCATGGGCAGTTTAGTGTGTATCTTCATGTAAAAAATCATAGACGTAAAACTGTAATAAAAATGTGTATACTTTTTATGTACAAGCCTGTGTTTGCAGTGAGCCAGAAGCTAGAAATCTTCACCGGAGTCAGTGATTTTTACTGTCTCGCCACAAGTAATATTATCTCGATGATTAATTTATCGCGTTAATCTAGACACATCATATTTGAGACGCAAGGTGGAGGTTGTAACGAAAGAAAATGATCACATCAAATATTTGTTTTATTCATAAATAGTATCAATATATAAAAAATATCTATACACGTTACTTACAGTACAAACATACATCATATACATAATCTTACATGACTAATGAGTTGGCGGTGGCTTAAGACTAGAATCAAGTACTTCCTCACATCTGGAAAATGTAGTTGAACGCGACCGATTCGGTGATGTAGCCTTCGAACGAGAGCGAGACCATGGCGAACAGGGCGAGCACCGCCAGGGACACGAGGCCTCGGCTGAACTCGTCGTTGGACAGGTCGCGCCGCAGCCACGGCAGGTCCACCACGTTCATGACTTGGGCGTTCTTCCTCCTCGTCTCCTTCGTGCATCTCGAAGGGCGCGAGGATTCGAAGGACTCGCAGGGAGTGGCGGACGGCACCCTCTCGACGTGCGCGAGGGCAGGCGCGCCATGGTTGGGGTAGCAGGACACCCCGCTGCTGGAGTCGAAGGCCATGAAGGAGTCCATCGTCGCTGGGTTGGAAAGGCTTGGCGAAACTTGCTTGGCTTGCTCTTCTTGCTCCTTCGGACGGTCCTCTGGCGTAGGAAAACTTGCCTTAATCGAAGCGTTCTTCCAAAAGCTGCCAACGTTTCTTCGGCTTAAATTTTCTTTTTCAAAGTCTAAAAAACTAGCCGGGATTATTCTTCCCAAACTTTCAGAGCTTTCGCAAAATCTTCCAGTGATCTCGTGAGCACCGACGTCGGGATGTTCAGCAAGCGAGCGTCTCTTCGTTCACGGCTGAAGGGAGGACAGCGTCGACGGGGCGGAGTGCACCTACTTACTGCTGGAAGATATAACTGAACGCCGTAGCTTCGACCAGGTAAGACTCCAGGGCAACGAGCAGGTACACAGCCACGGCAATAGGTGCGAGGAGGATGCGGCTGTCAATCACCTTCGCAGATTCCATCACAGCAACACGAGTCGGGCGCGAGGAGAGGGTCGTCCCGGGGGCGACTGGGCCTTGCTTTAAGACGTGGATGAGATGGTCTTGTTGCGGAATTTAGCCTTCTGAACTCTGACAACTCCGGGCAGAGGGCGTTGTGGGGCGTGGAGGTAAGTCCTATGTATGCACAGGTGGCAGAGCAGGCTAGGTGTGATGCCTCGCTCGTCTCCAGCCCGCTTTAATCCCCCGCCTCATAGCTTATCTGCGGCTGGCGGCGCGGGTGCCAAGTGTCCATTTCTCGGCCCACGTCCTCCGCCTCTTCCCGGAGAACATGTGACACGATCAAAACATTCGACGGCCATGTCGTGCACACGCTGATAGAGTAAATAATCATGTCAAAAAACCTAGAGAACGCCCATGCAGTCGCGGAGGAGGGGCACCTAACATGCACACACACAACAGACGAAGGGCAATAACGAGAGCCACTCTTCGCAAGCAATTTCACAGGACGAGACACTTAACCAGAAACTACCGGCTGCTGGCAGAATTTCTCAATTCGTCGTCTCCATAACCACTCCAGGACTCCCTCTATGTTAATGTGATGAATGTAATCCTATAGCCTCGTAATCCTACGCCACTGCAACGACTATGAATAGTAGGACTACTACGACTCAGCAATAAATCCAGCTGCAGTTTACGTTCGCCATATTGAAATCAGGTTACACTTCTGTGCAGATTCGTTCCAGATGTATCCATATTATTTTTACCTATTCATTCATATTATCATTTGGGGGTTAAGTGTAGAAGGAAAACGAGACAAGAAAAAACATCAAGAAGGGAAAACAGGAGAATCACTAGAAAGACAAGGCTATTTGAAACATATCAAGAGAAACAAGAAACAAACATTTTTAACTCCATTATTTTGGGTCTGGGACGTCGAACGATGTGAACCCTCGTGATAAGCCGTTGAAACTCGTTCTATTCTATGAGTGAAGGAAGGGGGTTGAGAGGAAGAGGGGAAGGGCGGAGAGGAACACGGGAGGGGGAGGGAAGAGAAAGGGGAAGAAAAGGAGGGAGGGTATAGCGAAGGGGAAGGAGGAAGGGAGAAGACCGAGGAACAGGGAAGAGAAGAGAAAAGAGGATGGGAAGTAGAAAGTGATAGGGAATGTACAGGGGAGAAAAGAGAAGCGGAAGGACGAAAAAAGAGAGAAGATAGAAAGAAGAGTAG